ATTTTCCAAGTGTATGATATAGCTTTCATTCTTCAGGTCAATCATATATTCACGAAAAAAAAAAATTTTAATTAGGAAAGCGATAACTTTAACATTTGAAAGGATACTATGGCAAAGTTATCGCTTTCCTTATTCAAACTGATTTTTTTCATGAATATATGATTGACCTGAAGAATGAAAGCTATATCATACACTTGGAAAATTATGAGCTTTATCACGCTCATAGACACTAGGGGTGTGACAATACACTTAGCTCACAAGGTGAGACAAAATGCAGATACTTGGTTCACTAGAATGAGACAATGTTTTAATACTTTAAGAAATTTTCAAATGAAAAAATATTTGTCTTTTAATCACAAAAAGTAAAACAATGCAGTTGTATTTTGAAATGTTTTAACTAATCTAGTGCTTAACTAATCATTATTTTTAATATTAATATTAATATTATTTTAATATTATTTACTTTAATATGACGATATTTATATATAAAGTAACGATGAGGCAATAATAATTGGCCTCAAATAAAGTATCAAAACCAAGTACATGGTTTTATTGAACAACATTGTTGAATACATAATGTAATATGCCTATATTACAACAAATACCTGCAGAGGGCACCAATGGCCTGGTGATGTTTCATGTGATTCAACAACGTTTAAATCCATTTAATTTTAATATTTGGCCACATGCAAAGTCAGAAACGTTTATTTTGAAATCGCGATGTACAATAAATTGCATATTTAGAAATATGTTGATGTATTCTCCTGTGTTGGCATAGGTTTAAATGATTTACGTTACAAATCAAGTGAGTTTTCCCAGATGAACGTTAAGCAACCCAAGCTCACCGCATATATGCAGAGGAAGAGTTTAGCCACGTTTACACATACAGTCTTTTACTGGTAAATTACCATTAAGAGATCATGTGTGAACAGACCTTTTCAAAAAATACAGGTAGGCCTAAATGCATTCTGGCAATCATATCATTCTTATGGAGATGACATGATTACTCTGAGCTGTTTACAAA